ACAATCAGATCAAGCGTATAAGCGCCTACGCTTGATCCGTCATTAACCAAGACGTTCAACGTCTCGGTTTCTTCCTGGGAACTTGCTTCCACAGGTTGCTGAGGGCCTAATCCCTCAGCAAGCGACTCTTGAGGAATTCCTTCCTCAAGTACGAGGGGACTTATTCCTTCGACGTCTTCCGACTGTGGCTGTGCAACCACAGTCAGGCACCGATCCTCTACGGTCGACTCTCCAGTCGACCCAGGATTTTCATGTTGCCCTTTGGGGGCAACAGATTTCTTTCTTCTAAGATGCTGCCCACTAGGCATGCATCCATGTCCCGGTCCACTCGACTTATTCGAGTGGTGGACCTTCGGCGCAGCCTGTACATCTGTACAGCCGCCGGGAGCTTGCTCCACAGTATAGTGATCAACTACACTATGATCTTGTGCAGTCGTGCTAACGACCGTACCGCAAGTGAGGCCATCGCACTCACTCGCAGAACATCCACACGCTTGTGGACGCTCCAAGATGTTCATCAGATGGCCATCTGATGAACAAGCGGCAGGCATCTTCACGGATCGATGCTGCCAGCTCACCCTTGGCTCGTACTTTCGGAGCCAAGGTAATCCCAGGATGACATCAAATTTGTCATCCAGATCTAGTACGATGAAGTCATCATCGTACTGTTCGCCCTCTAACGTGTAGTGGATTCCTACTACACGTTTCTCAACGGTTATCGATGCGCCTGTTGCAAGGCGCACCGTCATCCTTGTGAGGGGAATGTCGCTCTCAACGAACTTGAGCCTACGACCCTCTAGTGACTGGCGACGAACAAAGTTGTTCGACGCCCCACAGTCTACTAGGGCACGAATTGACAAATCATTTGTCGCTTCCAACTTCAAGGTGATGAGCGAAACGTCATCAACAGGTGCAGAGACACACAATGATTGTGTATCTGGAGCAACTTTCGTCAAGAGATTTGCAAATTCTCTTGAGGTTGCTGGATCAGTAGGGCGCTCCGCCCCTACTGACCCCGACCATTTTTTGATGGTCCGTCTCGCTGTTGCGGCTTCGCAACAGCGCTGGACCCACGCCCATTGCCCTTTCTGGCAAATGGTCGTCCATTTCGCTCAGTACTGTTTGGTACTGGGCGTGGAGCACTACACTCGTATGCGTAGTGCCCTAACTTCTGACAGCGATTGCACCTCTGCAATCGCTTGTTGTTTGAAGAGCGAGGTCTCTCGCTCTCAACATAACAGAGGTCCATTGATTCTGGACCTCCGATCTCTTGTCGTCTCGGTGGACGGTAAGAGTTTGAGCTAGCATGAGCCTGTCTGATGCTAAAGTCTTCCTGTTCCGCGGCTGATATCGCTTCTTCAAGCGTATTCAGCTCAAGGCGGAACAGATGGCTCCTGACGGGCCCTTCTGCGAGCCCTTGCATGAACACCGTAATCAACGTGTGTTCATGTACTGGGTTGGCAGTTATACTACTCGCAAGGAGTCGTATATGTTGTGCGTAAGCGTGCACATCACGCTTACCCTGCTTGAGTTTCAGGAGCTCTGAACGAGCCCTGAACTCAGCCCGTGGCGGCTCAAACGTTTGTCTGAGCCGGGACTTGAAGTCATCTGGCGACCTAAACACGTTTGGGTCGCTACTCTCGAGTCCCAGGGACCAAGTTTTGGCACGCCCTGCCAAGTGGGTCAGAGCAAATGTGAGTTTCATTTGCTCATCTTCGACGCGACGAGCCCTTAGGGCTCTGTCGAGTTCGACAAACCATAGTAACAGGGAGTCCTCCGGGACTCCACTGTACTTGGAGATGTCAACTTTCATGACTTCGGGACGACGCGCATGCGCCGTCCCGCCCACAGCAGCATGGAATTGCTGCTGTCTCAACAGCTCCGTCTGTTGAGCACCGAGTTCTCTCAACTGCTCGGCCTGTTGAGAGCCTTGCTGGTGAAGCAAGGCTACTTTCTCCCTTTCGGCGACAAGTTCATGTTGAATGAACTTGGCAATAGCGGCATGTAGTTGGTCTCTGTCTAGAGACTCCAACATGGCGCTAACGACGAGTTCGCCTACGGTAGAACTCATTCGTTCTACCGCACCCCATTCGATGTCACTCAAATGGGTAAACCCTTCACGCGTGGCGTGAAAGGTGTCTTCTTCATCCAACATGAACATGTTGGATGATGTGGTCCTTGGAAGGACTACAAAGTGCTACCAGGTGTAACGGGGCACACCCTTGCGTAACTTAACGCAAGGGTTTTTGGGTGCCCCGACGGACGTACACGTGGCAAGCGAGGAAGCGTAGGTAGGGTAAAAGTAGAACTGTTATATTAATATAATTAAGTCTTTAAACTACTGTCTCTTCGTTTGACTTAGTTTAACTGTACTAATATAACTGAATGTATGGTGACGTCTCGTCACCACTCATTGCGCGCGTCTTGCGGCGATTGGTGGGTTGATATCATCACGATATCAACCAATGAACAGACCCTTTGGTCGACCCTTCAATATCACCACTTTGGTGATATTGGTTAAAGAATATCCATATTTATATTCTTTATTGTCACTTTCCTTAAAGTGACAATTTCATGTAACGGGCTGCCCCGTTACACTTAGAGCCCAAAGCCTTCCTCTGGTATAGATATGTTGCAGCTTCGATACAAGAGTACTACACTGGCACTCAATCATTTCCGGCCATATCTTGCAAGTCGCAACTCTCATTATTTGTTCGGAAAGCGCGGGCAGTTACCGAAGATGCCATCGATGTACGCTAGACCACCATGATATATATTTTGCACGCTTACAGACCTTGTGCAACGGAGCACGTTTTGCTTATGCTGACAAGTAATGAGCTAGTGACAAGCAAATAGTAAAGACACCTGCATCGGATCGTCACGCATGAGCTTGTGTGAGAAAGCATCTACAGCTAACAAAAACCGCATAACTGAATATTATGATAGTGCTGTATATCATATAAGTTCAGGTTACTACCATGATCCTTTTCCACAGTACTTTGTGTCCTATTTGCAATCAAATAAACAAAATGCTGACACCTAACAACCACTCGTAGCGCGCATCTCTACGTTGATGACATTGTCGGATGACCCAATGGTACAGACTGTCCAATGCGCAACGTGTTCTCAGCTGCTAGTCGACGATGACCTTTACTTGAAGTTTCTCTCTTTATCATGCGCGAAGGGCAGAGCCATTAGTATATGTGCGTAGCGTAATTTCGAGCTTCACTGCAGCTACTTGTGTGTGTCGGCAAGTCACACAAGATGTTACTCATAAGTGCGATATGTGAGATCCAGCAATGAGTACTGTACTGGTATGGATAAAGATGTGTAAAAGTTGACACTGCTTGAATATGTTACCAACCAGAATCCTATGGAATCTGCTAATTACGCATTCGCGCATGTGTATGACCGAACAGCATCAAGAGCGAACACGTCTTTCCCAAGACACGATGAAGCATTGTAGTCAACTTTCACAGCCATGGGAAGGTTTCATGGTACTTAATGAATAGAACTGGTGCTCTCGATTTGATCATTACAGGGAGGCACTTGATCAATACCATGTATCACAAAAATTCTCTGACCCTAATAAGGGAAACAGCGATGGTTTGGATGTCACCTTCCTCGCTTGGCGGCAGGCAAAGCTGCCACACCCTTGTGTTCTCATCTCTGTATTACATGTCGACGATCTCACCTCGTTGGGTTGTTTGCTGATCGAAACATGAGATCAGCGATTGTCTGTCTATATTGTCTTGGATTCTAATCTTCAACACAACGACGGGGCCGGATGGGATTTTGTTGTATTATATGCCAGCCACGGCGACCGTGTATTCAGTACACCTTACAACGCAGAACTACCTCTGCCGCTAATACTGACAGTGTCGAATCGGAACGAAAATATTCGTAACGCGATTTTATACTCTGAAGCGAATTATCTGCATGAAGCGGTGAGCTCCGGACCATGGTCCCCTTTGATCAGACTTGCAAGTTATATAGCTAAAATTTCATCGCTACAACAACCTATTCACTTACGACCAATCAGCTGAGAACACGTCGCTACATCAATATTCACATTGACATTTGCTGTAATGTCAAGCTCATGCAATGAGTGGGCCAATCAGTTACTAGACTAAATGGATCAACAATGGAGCAGAAATACACCAAATTGCAATCAAGCTGTTTGGCGACAAGATATTCGGCCATTCGAAGCCTCCTTTTTTGACAAATTTGCGCTGATGGTCGGCACGACGGCGCTGTCTTGTTTAGGCCCGTCTTAGCAGACTATTTACACAAAGTAGGTAATTGAACAATAACAACAAAAACAATGTACGAATGCGAAGCACCTCCAAGCACGAAAAGCGACTTTTCTATTGCTAAGACAACGTCAACTGTCTTTTGTAGGGCAGGCGATTGCATGCGGGGTCCAGGAAGCAAGTAATTCTAACCACATGCACTATTGATGAACCCAAAACAGCTCGCTCAAAAACGTGAAGCTGAGCTTTAACAGACGGCGTCATAGTCGCACATTCCATGTCTCCTCAGCGGCCTCGCCAATCGTTGAGCTCAAACATCAAGGTACGTTGCTTTAGCCAGACGCGTGGAAGCAGCAGCAAAAGAAAACTCGAATCGATGCTTTCCTTCTCTGTTCGCTAATATTGAAGGTTGGCTACACGAACGCTTTGCAGTGGCGCTCAAATCCGAGCGATTGTTCACGAAAGACTATAGAAGACCAACACGGACGAACGTTTTGGCATTTCTCACCCAATAATGGACGACCATGTCTCCATTTGCATGTACAAGAAAGAAAGCGTCGAACGCCGTTGTGCCATCGAAATAACGACGTTCTGCCGCCGAACTGTCACGACATGACGCAGCAGATCGATACAGACAGCACAAAACCACTCGCTGCTCTACATATCGTCTAGAGTCGAAAGTATCAAATTGTATTCCACGTCGTCGGGATGCAATGAGAGAAAAACACACACACTGCTGCTAGCGACTTATGTCGTGACGGACGTCGGGTCGGCCATCCGGGCCTGCAACCCCTTAATTTGCACCACTTTCGACGCCGTCTCGGCAAGTCTCTTCATAGCCGAGTACTGCGACGCAGACACGTCTCGAGACTTGCTGTCAATGCAGCACACGGAACCCACGACCTGGTCGTTCTCGTCCTTGAGTGGGAACCCGAGGTAGAACCGCATGTCGTGCGCAAGAAGCGCCGGCAGGTTCTGGAACCGAATGTCCGATTCCGGATGCGGTACCAGCAATGGCACGTCGTTCATGATCGTGTGTTGACAGAAGGACTGCTCCCGTGGCATATGCAGCTGTCGAAACGGCAGCAAGTTCGATGCCAACACGTGCTGCTCGTCCTCGCTGATCAGCGTCACGAGTCCCGTAGAACACTGCATTTCCCGTGCAAGCAGCTCACAGATCAAGTCGAGCTCGTCCGTGTCCGTGATCTTGGAGAACCCGCCTCGCTCGATGGCTGCAATCCGCATCTGCTCGTTCTCGGGCACCGGCGGTTTGCTCAATGTGCCGGCGTCGCGGGCCATATTGAGCGGGTAGTTGCGGCCATCGACAGTAGCGAGCACACACTCTTCGAGCGGAAGCGGCTCGACCTGCAGCATGCCGTCGTGCAGTGCGTTCACGTACTTCTCAGCGTCCTTATCCGTCAGACGTGTGCCGGACGACGAGCTGTCTGAGCAGCTCACCCCGGCCTCTTTCTCCTGGTTCATCAAGTGCCGCACCACGGACAGGACAGACTTGCGCTTGTTGCCCGACGAGTTCTGCAGCGCGTCGTGCAAGAAGTTCGTCAACGCTTTGCCCGGCGTGTCGCTGCTCGATGGCAGACTCGGCGGGTCCGCGACAATCTGAATGCGGCCACGTGTCTGCTGGTTCACGCACGAGTAGTCGCCATTGTGCACGAACTCGACGCAGCGCTTGCACGCGCGCACGGACGAGACGCGACCCGCACGCGTCTCCATCGAGTGGATGCTCCAGCACTGGTGGCACACAATGTAGCCGCACACGTGGCAGCGTTTCTTGCGCGTGAGGAACCGCAGCGACTTGGCACAGCACGTGCAGCGCGAGTTCTTGGCTTCGAATGCCGAGCAGTCGGCCAGCAATTGCGTACCAAAGCGGCGACGACGGACCACGTCGGGGAGCTGACTGGCACCTGCAGCGAGTCGCATCAAGCGCGTCTGCCGTTTCTTCGACCAGGCGAGTTGACTGCCCCGTTGACTCTCGCTGTCCATGCTGTAGCTCGTGCTCGACGAGTCAAACTGCGGCTCATACTCGCGAAGCGAAGCCTGAGCAAAGAAGACGACGCGAACCAAATTGCTCGCCGAGATCTTCTCAATGAGGTACGCTGCTGTCAAGTCAGGCAGCTCGTCCACGCGGTCGGCTTTCATCTTGCCAGCAAGTAACGCGGTCTCTGGCACGGACGTGAGCGTCACCGTGAAGCTGTCGGCACTGCTGACTTTCTCAAAGTACTCGAGAAAGCACCACTGTTCGTGGTTCTTGAACAGCCGCGAGCGCTCAAAGGCACTGGTCTTGACCGTCAGCTTGGACTCGACTTCCACTACGACGTTAGCGGCTTCGGCCGTGGTCTTGACCCGGGGCGGCCTCACGACGTGCACGACCGAGCCGTGGATGTAGTCCTTGTACACGCTCCGCATCATCATGTCGTGGTCCACGTCCGTTGCCGTGCTCAGGATATGCGCCAACTCGTTCAACGAGGCTTTCATCTCGCCCGTGGCCAGCACTTCTTGGGCAGACTCGAAGCCGTCGCCGTGGGAGAAGGCCGTGAACGCATTGGCCACTGTCTTCCACTTCCAATTGCGGAGCGACGCCTGGCGGTTCGTGAGCCGACGAAAGTCGACGCGGTCGGACGCTTCGCGGGCCAACGTCAAGAGCTCTTCGTCGGACAGCCGTACGCGCGACTCGGTCGGCGGCAAGTGGTCGATTGATCCACCGGACGCCTTCGGGTCGTCGTCTTTACTGCTTCGGTCGCCCAATTCGAGACGTGACCGATCGACGACCGCGCGCCTGAAGCTGCTCGAGCTTTTCTTGAGCTTGAGACCCGACGACGGCGCTCGCGTTCGATCGGCTGTAGTTGACTTGAACATGGAAAATTGGACAATGGCCAGCGGACGACTGGGGCGGAATTTCGTGCGGGTGATGACGGAACGGACGTTGTTGCATTGCTGACCTGACCAAAGTATCTGACCAAAGCATCTGCCGACCGACCTGCCTACCTATCCCTCTCTTGAGCCTGACCTTACCCCACCCACCCTTTCCCCGTCAACGACAAGCTCTTGGTGCCAGTGCGACTCGGGATAAGAAGAAATCAGGTGGGATTAGCAGCAGAGCGTGTTGAGGGGATACTTTGCGCAAGTCAAAGCGGTGTCCGACCTGTCTCCGGAGCTGCACGAGGAGACGATGGGGTCTGTTCGTGACAAGAAGGCCCCTGTGAGTAATTCGCCGTGTCGTCAAGGGGCTCTTTCTGCCGATTCCGCGGCAGAAAGAGCCGACGTCACGTGGGCACGTCGTGTGGGCGATTGCGACTTGGCCAGGCAAGTCGCGACGGACGGCTGGGCGTGATCAGCCACCATGTTGACCACATGGCCGTAGCTGATTTTGCGCCAACTGCAGATGGTTGCGGCTCTTGCTTGACACGCACCCATCTACTATGTGCCAAGTGCGTTCGTTGGCGGGAGGCCAGCAACGACGACACCATATTGCTACTGGTATCGAGATCGACTTGATGATGCACGTAAACAGACGCGCTGGGCGTTTGCTTTGCTTTGTCTTTTGTGTGGCGATGGCGGAGATGGTGGACTGGCCACTTGAGATAGCGTAACGTTGTGTCTGCACACAGTGTGCAGGATGCCCGACACGGCTTACCGGTGAATCTATTTACGTCCCTACGCTCGACGCTCTATACTGCGGACACCATCAACAGCGATGATGTATGTATGTCTACGCCGAGAATGGAGGTAAACATTTCTCACTGTCTTACTCACCTGCGTTTCTACTGCTGACCGTTACGTCTGCACCGATTGAGGAGATCCATCATGTTGTCCATCGGCTGCAATACCGTAGGTACCGTTTGTTTCCGCATACGAAGCTAGGTCACTGTGTCAACACTCTTGAGCTTTCTTGCTACGACGGCCTTCACCGAAAGGGAGCAGAGTAAACATTGCTGCGTGGTACGTAGTCACCTACTTTCGCGGCGAGGTCCACCCCTGAGACCTCAGCGTCATTTCGCGTCGGGTACACGATTGTGTCAATCTATGCGCCCGCTCGCTAGTGCAACGCCCTACCGTCTCCAATAGCGTCCATGGACTCGATCGACCTTCAAGGTGGCACGGGGTCCTTCAACATCGGACCCTGCGCCACTATGAATTACTTCCGTGAAGAGCATCTCGAAAGCAGACAATCCGTAAAGTATTGGCGATCAACATTGTCCTATGACATTGATCGCGTTACTGATACCGTCTTGACACGTCGAAAGGACAACAGCAACTGCTCGGACGTTTGGTATGTGCAAACGTTGAAGTCCGATCGACTGTCGAGCGTCAGTCGCGCATTACCTAATATCTGCCACACCTGCAATACTTCTTCTGGTCAGTACTGCACATCACCAATTGTGCTCGAAAGTTGACGCCTGAGCTGCGTGGAGAAAAAAAGGATAGCCAAGCAGCGGATTTTCAGCTGCTCAATGCGCTACGATTGTACTACCGTCTTGTTGCTGCCGCGCAAGCGCCTTGTGGTACCTCGTGATCGTGCGTGTGGGCAATTGAAGACACAAGAGCGGTGAGTTGTGTCAGATCACTGACTCGCGAATTGATGGTTCAACGATGCGGTACTGCAACAAGTAGTCTCTCTCACGAGCTGCTTTGCCGATGTAAATCGCACCCTAGCGCTTGTCACTGTGGCCAAGCCGCCATCCCTCTGCCACCATTACCGGGCATCTAGCTCTCTGCCGCTTCATCTGTCCAGCAGTTCGTTGCAGTTCCTCAGCTGGACATCAGCAGCAATCGATATTTGACGGGCATGACTTGGAGCGACGGGATGACGACCCCGTCGATCCTAGACACTCACTGGACACGACTCTCCCTATCTCATCCTCACGTCATGTTACAACAATGTCAAAACAACTGCGCCCCCATCACATGTATTGGTCACCACAACGGCGGCAATGACGAACGACTACGCCAATGTGGTTGACACTCAGCGCGAACCAGTACCTGGCAAGTGGCAGATTACTATGACAACAACCACTTCCGCAGTCCTACTACAATTGCTGCCTTATGGCGTAGTACTGACTGCTCGCTTGTCACCGTGTCCGTCACGATAGACAAGAGGTGGACATACTCGTTTAGCGGAGACCAAACACGCGATCGTAACTTCTGTCTCTTCTTTCCAACAGTTCCCCGTGAAACTATCGATACGGTAAGCCGTTCTTCAATTACAGAGATCGGAACCTCTGGACCTCTTTCGATCGAGCGAGCGACGATACACTGCAAACTACCGATCTCAACCTGTCCACACGCTCGAGGAATCGAACAGCTACAACGTCGTGTAGTCGTTCAGTTGCCAGACATTTCAAAAACGTCGTGTGCCATTCCTGCTAGAAGTTGATCGTGCTCGAGTCGCTCGCGACAGAAACCACCGCCGTGCCTCCGTTCACCATCCACGCGTTGAGTTCGGTCCAGGAGTTGCGGCGTGGTTCCCACGGACCTCTCTCGTCGCGGACATTCAACATCCGCACGCCTGACGTGCCTTGCTTGCATCCATAAGTGGCAGACAAAAAAGCGCAAAAGCGTCCACGGCCAGGTGCTAGTTCAAGTATCCTATAGTGCCAATGAAGCCTGAAACATGGCACGACACGAGTATCGACGCTTGAAACAAACACCGGATCGTTGCGCAACGATGAGCAAACACGGCCACGTTCTCCTGTACCGAGCAGGGCGCCGTCGTCATGGGAGACTACAGGCAGATGGCAAAAAAAGCGGAGAGCCTGTAGCAGGAATCTCGCTCAATCCATGTCTCTTGACATGAACGTCAGTGTCGTCCACCCCTACTGCAACAAACGTTTTGCCAGATGGTTCTCGAGCGCATATCTCAAATAGGACATTTTTGGTCTCACAATCCACTCACGAAAAAATGCTGCGGCGACACCCGACACGCGTTGAGGAACGGGCCGACGTCGCGGCTGAGTACGAGTCGTATTTGCAGGAAAAGGAACGACAAGCGAAAAACAGCAGCAGCAGTGCGCATCAGCCTCCCGACTCGACGTCTTCTCTGCCGTCGCCTTTTGGCATAGCGGGCGACTCGATGGCTGCGCGACAAGAAGCTCGACGCCAGGACGTGCGTTCCCGCATTGGACTGAACCCGTCTACTTAGAGCAAGTGGTGATCATGATGACGAGGACGACAAGTATGAGGATACGGGAATTGACGTGAAAGAAGAGCAACGAGGACGCGTGAAAGTCGATGAGGAAGCGCAAGTGGCGCGTCTTTAGTGGCGCGGATACGAAACGAATGGCCGGTTAGGTCGCTACTTTTTGGGCTTTGTCGGTGTTTAGTCGATGAACACATACCACATACAAACCCGTCTTCCAACACACATGTCGTCGATCTTTTATCTCCCTCGACGGCCCTGTCGGTCGATATCGTCAGTATGCTCTTGTGCAGTTTCATCGCATCGTGCGCCTATTAAGACCGACTCACGAAACACGACCCTAAAACGCGAACGACTGTATTTTCATCCTCTATCGACTCGATAAAAGCACCTCAATCGCTCATCTATCGCCTCGATAACGCACCGCTATCGATTCGATAACGCACCGCTATCGTTCGTCTTCGATCCTATTCCTCTCTCATTTGCAAATAGAACCCATCCTCATCAAGTATGGCTTTCGAGGACATCGCGCCGTTACTACCGACAGCGCACCGCCGAGCGCGCAATTCTCGAGCCGGTAGTATGTCCGAAAGCCTCGACGTCTCTTGCGGGTCGCCCGTGTCCCACACGACAGCCGAGCGCCATAAAGACAAAAAGCGCTTTGCGCGATTCGAACGCCTGTCGTCCATTCCTTTGATTGCGCTAGCGGGCGTACTCGTCTGTGGCTTTGTCATGGGGTACTACACGCAGCTGTTGCTCTTTTTCTGTCGCGTTCGACTTGGGTTCCAAGCGACAGTCCTGCCGATTGTGGCGTCGCGACTTGTTCCACACGACAGCGAAGAGACTTATTCGCTGTTGCACGAACCCATTCAGCGCGTGTTGTTTGTGTGCGACAAGACGAATTGGGACTTTGTGGGCTTTATCGTGAGTCCTGAGACACTCGTGTTTGCCCACAAAGACGTTTCAATTCCACTGGCGCTCGAAAACAGTCTCCAGGTCGTCCGGCACACTGGGGTGGACAGCTATTTGAATCTCCACAACAAAACGGTGACCATTATGAGCCATATCCAGGCAACAAACGCCCGCAGTCACTTGTTGAAACAGGACGACGAAGCCGTGATCTACTGGCCACAGTACTACCAGTGCTTGCAACAGTGCACGGACTTGGCCGCGTGCTATGCTGGGGACATGCACGTGAATGTCGGCGGCGTGTCAAACACAAACTCGTACGTGTTTGCGACTGGCGGGTCGTACTTTGTTGGGAGTGGCGTGATCAAGTGCATCTTGGACAACCCGATTTATGTTGAGCTGGAAGGACTGGACTATGGCGAAGACAAGACGGTTGGCAAGATGATCCACTATAACAAGTGCAACGTGGAGTACGTGAGCTGCAAGTGGTTCAACAATGAGGAAGTGTACTTGCCGCATGCACATGTCAAGATGACAAAGGGCGCGGCGACAGCGGTGCGTAGGGACACAATCTTGGTCGACCGAGAAAGGTATTTACAAGTCACGAACGGCGGACGTGGCAATACGGTGCGTCGTCTGGACGAGAACGACGAGCAGACACGACAAGACGGTGTGTAACGACACACGATAGAGCTGTTGGAGGACGTTATGCGCTGAGATATCGATTACTTCGACGTCAACTGGGCCCGCTCTGTTTTGTGTGGAGATTTGTGATCGTAGTGTCCAGTGTGAAGGATCCCCCATGCGACGGTACCTTCGAAAGTGATGCGTGCAGGGTATCTCGTATCATGTGGAGCTCAAGCGGTGTTTTTTGCAAATGGAAAGAATGAATGAAGGTGGTTGGGCGAGTATCGGTCCGATGGTGTGGTTGTTGTAGCAAACTTTGGACTGGTGTGCACTGCAGAGAAAGGAGCAGTTCTTGTGGTGTTGTGCACAGGCCATTACGAACGGGTCGCAGTAGGCGAAGCCCGTTTGCCGAATAGTGCACGGTCTTTTGTTGTCCAGGGGTCTGCCACACGTCAGCAAGTTTGGAAGAGGGATGTTGTGCGATGAGGAGGGCTTCGAATAGTGCAACAAATTGACGATTGGGGTATCTGCGCAACGTAAGAGCTAAATTGAACCGATGACGTCCACACCTGTCGCGGTGCGGCCGCTTTCTTATCCACAGGGCCAAGCCCACATGCAAGCTTGTCTTGTACTTGTCAAACCTTAGCATCCCACTAAGAGCATGGGCAAGCTGGGCTTTGCATCTCTACATCCAGCATCTGGCGCCGAGAGTATTGCTCGGCTCTGTTGGCAAAGAGCGCCGTAACAGTGTTGCTGAATGTGCCACTCATCGTACATTGTAACAAAACCTCGCTGCTGCTGGATAGTATTGTTAGCGCTTGCTTCGTTTTGCTAAGAGGCGAACATGAACCTCATGGTGGAAGCTAAACTTGTACTTGACTGAACAAGTTTAGACGTGACTAGCCTGGGCCGGACTAACAATTGTCACTCGCCTGTATACTCCGATGTCTAGTCGTGGGCATATATGCGGACGGCATTCACGTACTCAGGCGCAAGCAGGTGAGTATCCCATTCCCATATATTGTCGACTGATGCAATTCCACATCTTGGTCCCGCATTCGAGCCTAGCATATCTTTCTGCATCTCACCAGCCTCTAGTCGCCGTATAAGCGGTATCATCGCAAAGTCTTGCAGCAAAGTAAGCTGCTTCACTTTGTTGTGTGTGTCAATGTGGTAAAGACCACTCATGCACTCGTGGTCTTACTTTCCCAGTCTTGCGCAAAAGAAGGAGTGACAAGAGGCAGATCGCGTGCTTTTATCAGAGACAAGTAAATGTAACGATGATGACACGTGCCTATCATCATGTTCGTCTACCACGTGCTTTGTACCACTACACTTTCGAGCAATCAGGTCCACCACGGCATCGATGACGGTGTTAAGCGAACAGCAATATAACTGTATTCGGCACACAGTCGAAATCGTCCGACGCAACCTCATCCGCGACTAAATGAGGTGCTGTTCAACTGCCGCACAACCGATACGTTGCTACTCTAGCCACCTCATACGCATCGACCAACATCAGCTGAAGAACTGCCACATTCAAAGCTGTGGTCCGCTTACTTCAGCTCGATCGAAGCTAGGCAAAACTTGTGTATCACAAATGATGCCACTACAACTACGAAGGAGCTCAAGATACAAAGACCGAGAAGCTTATCACGGCTCTTGGATAAATGCTACGCAAGAAGGCAAACAAAGAATGACTGGTACTACACACAGGATTCAAGCAAACAATAACTACATGTCGCTTACGTGCTGCTTGTCCAAGTGCACGATGAGCGATAGAGTATCGATAACAGCAAAAGAAAAAGCTGGGTATAGGCAGCGTTTCAGAGCAAGTGAGGAGACTTTGATACCACGATGATGTACTTGGCAGATTGTTGTCTCGTGCTCTGTAATTTTGTGTGGTACTGTAAAAACTGCTGGAAGAGGCCAATTGCAACAAGTACAAGTCGAGTTTGACCGTGCAAAACTTTGGTGCGTTGCCGAGACAAGGAACGAGGTTCGCTGATCCTTAGAAAGCCCACTATAAAAGACAAACACGGAGTATTGCTCGCGAACCGATTTCGACACAACTTGACAGCTCAGTCGCTGTAAGACATCAAGTGCTATCGCAGAACAAAGTTGGGCTTTGCTTTATGCAATAAATTCGGGCTTTGCTTTATGCAGCAAAGTTCGCCTATCACGCAACTACATGTCGTAAAGCTTTGTGACGATTGACAGTACTTGCTTTTGTGCAGGTCATCTGACAACATACTTTATTGTGCCAGCGATCGTCGGTGTTGCGATGCTGCTGCAGTCGATCGACACACCTTCGCCACTCTCTGTGGGTCACCAGTAAGCCATGGCTTCGCGCGGAACGAGGATGATGGAACTGGCACTGATCCGTTATCTTTTGCGTCTCTGCGTCTATTCAGCCCTTTGCTATTGTGTTGCTGATGCTACTCGCTGTCCGTGCTGTATCGGGCATCTCTGTCATCCCGTCGCGTAACTCCATCAAGATAGCAGAAATACTTGTCCACAGTGTGTGGCGTGCAATCGATGGTACTGCAGCGTCAACAGTAAACGCTATCCACACTATGGACAGCGCTAGTAAACATGCCACACCGCGACCTGATCCTCGTAGTATCCAGGCGCACAGGCACCTGGAGAGCTATCATTAACCGCATAGGCTCGACTGTCATGCTGACGAACGTGGCTCTCGTCTTCTTCACAAGTAGACGTAAAACATCACAAATGGCAAATCACGACCGACTGTGGCTCTTAGTGTACATCAAACACGCCCTTCGCCTCCTGAAGTATACCCGCACGGCCGTTGCAGACAATGAGCCGTGTGATGTGACACTGCAAAACCAGCGGCCGAGTTTATTGTCGGCAACGTTGTACACCTCATTGCGGAAGTGGGCGATGAAGAGATGGTGAAAGGTAGTCAGGTGCGTCGCAAGCCCATAGTCACTCCGTATGACACAGCCGATCAGTAGAGCCATGGTGACAGCGAGCCCGTGAGCGCGGCATAGTCTGCTACGTCAGCTTCGTCGCCTTCAACACTGGCTCCGTCTATATTGACTTCATCTGCTTCAGACTGAGTGCCATTGGCACTAAGCAGCGTCTCCACAACTACATACCAATGCAGCTGCACAACATCTTCATGAGCAACAAGTGCGATAGGTATTGTGACATAACGGCCAAGCCCAAGAGCGTCGTCAGCCAGTGAATATCTGCGGCTTGATTTTTTGTTGGTGGCAGCACTCGAATTGATCACAATCACACCAGCAGCTCCAGCATCTTGCAGTCTCAACGCTTTCGCTGCAAACGTGCACGTACCACGATCCACCATCACAATCTTACCACGCACACGGTCCGGATCAATCGACTTGCAAGCCTCGCCGATTTCCGGTGTAAAAAGCAGCAACGGAGCCTCAAACGGTGTTGGCTTGGTGATCTGCAAGCCAAATGTGGCAGGAGATGCAACAAGGGTCATCAAGTGCACGTCTCCGAGTCGCACGGCTAACCCGACCGGGACAACCGGAGGTCTCGGTAGCATTGCTCGATAGGCCGCGAGCTCCATATTACGCTTGCGCCCTTGGAGCTTACCATCTTCGCACATTGGCAAGACCGGCATGGGGCTTTGCTCCTTCGCGGACCTGAAGAGGAGCGAGTTTAAGATCAGAACATGGCCTTCCGTGCTGAATACTACATCGGTTGACTTGAGGGGCTTCTCGTTTCTTCTAGTGGGCAAGCTCTCGTCAGGCAGAGCGCTCACATTGCTTGTGCGTTTTACACGACTACCTGGTAATGAGATCACATACCGCTTGTCCATCTCCACAGCCGCGCAGCTTTTATTCACCGGTAATGCCGATTCCTTTTGCGTACGTGGTGGTGGTACTGGTACAACCACATCGGGGTCATCGCTAAAGAGCAAGTACAGGTACTTCACCGTCTCAGAGAGAAAGTAACTGTCCATGCGATCTTCAATGTCAAGTGTGTATATGTCTCCTACCGCAGCGTAGCCACAGGGGACCTCGGACACACGACGAATATCTTGCAGCATTTGTCGACCCATTTTCAAGTATTTGTGATCCCGTGTAGCCTGGTACAAATGGTACGTACTCTCAATCAACTCTGGTCGAAGGGGAGACGTTCGTGCCCAGTTGATCACAATGCCTCGGTTGCCAGGCTTTGAGACTCTACGTGGGACCAAATCGATCAGCTCGGGCATGGTTCCAAACTCGTCCCACAATACAAACATGTGCTCGTGGGTGCGAATAGCGCCCGACACATCACCAGCAAGCACTTGCAGTCCAGGCCAAAACGCCTGCAGTGCTGACGCACGACGAGCACGCACTTCGTACTTTCCTCCGTGCATATCCACCTCGACATACACATTGTCATCGTTTATGTGCGTTTCCACCGCGTGGTAGCTGGCATTGAACATGGCCATCCACTGCGCATCGCCACTGATCAGATAGTACTTGAGCAAGTATTCGTAAAACGAGTCCAGCCCCGCACCAATGCCACCGTGCGAGTGCATCCACTGGCCAGAATGCACATCAATGGCACTGCCCAGCAAGTCGAGATGCGATCGACGTTCCCAGATAGCTACGACCGCTCGCTTTGCTCTCGCTTCAAACCTCTCGTCGCCTGTGAGCCTCGATAAGTAGGCCATCTCCACCAACAGCGACCCTGCTGCTGCAGGACACGTGATCTCGGCCGCTCGATCGTGCAACGACACCCCGTGCTGTAAGTTCACACGGTGCACGGGCAGTCCCGTTTGCGTGTCAAAAGCCGGCAACAGCCGCCGTCCAAGCTCTTCAGCCAGTCCCAGCAACTCGCCGTGGTACTCGTCGTCGTCCATCATTCCGAAATACGCCGACGACGCCAACATGTGCGCGGACACTAAGCCGCCAATGACCCGAATCGTGGACTCAAACACCGACACCGTCACGTCTCGATCAAACGTCACGCTGCGGGACACGAGCGTCACAGCCCGTGCAAACTCGTCACGGTCGCCCAGCACGGCCAACATGTCGAGGGAGTCAACGAGCGTCAGCGAAAAGCCGCCGAGCACGTCGTCCAGATCCCCGCGTTCGCGACGGTCCCACCGGCGTCCAGCACAGCTCAGCGGCTTGAGTTCGTCCCACGGGTACGCGTGGTCCATGTAATTGCGGTAGCCGTGGTAAAACATCTCGCGTGCTTGTTGCTGCAGGTGCCGGCGCTCGGACGCGTGCATGTGGGCCCAGCAGCGACTGCTATAGAGGGCGACGAGCACGAGAAGAAGGCACACGAGTGGCCGAGGCATTTGATGCACGGGAACGGACGTCAGGAGTCGCTGCGGGGGCAGAGGAATGAATCGACCAGTCGCACTTGAGGGACTGCGTGACCGACTGACTGACTGCGTGACCGACTGACTAACTGCGTGACTGACTGGCGGACGGACAGACGAACGAATGTGACTGTCTCTTGTTGGCTGTAAAAAGGGAAGTGAGCTGTTCACGGAGTCGACGACGCGATCGGACGTAAGCGGAGACTTTGCGTGTCACGAAAGACGAGACAGTCAGTGGATACAAAATGGCTGCAGTGCGACAACGTGCCTCGTGTAGGCGCTGTCAGTACGGGGCACCGTTCTAAATTACCAGATTATAGTATTCGGTGCTACAGGCGGAAACAGCTGCCGAACTGTGCTGCGATAACAAGCGATAGGTGATGGTTTGTGTGTCCATGTAGTGTCTTGAACCTAGATTCGAGCTACAAGATGTTTTACTGCACCACTACCGCGGGCTCTTTTCCAAACACTGCACGTCAGCTCTATGTATTGCAGAATAAGACTGGTCCACGCATTGTAAGCGCTTTCGTAACTGATCGCAGCGCCAGAAATTCAGATGTCAGTAAAATCGGGGTGAAAATGGTAGAAGCAGCTTGGCAGTACAGACGACAATGTAGAGTGACGGTTCGGGCGTCAACACACATTGGTCATCTGCTATTAGGAAATGTCGTTGAAGCAGTCTCAAATGTGTGTGAATAGGGAACATATAGGCAAGTAGCGATATGTGGGTAAACCTCGAAGATCCCTCCCGTATGGATTCGTATGACGTCGTTCGAACAGTGTACTATCCTTGAATACCCTACTCATATTATTGACCTTGCAAAGCATGTTCATTTTTAATTTTATTATTCTATTTGCTTGCTGTCCACCTTGCGGTCTACATGCCATTATTCGAATGATGTTGTGTATTTCACATTGTTGTAACTATCCGTTTTCTCTTCCGTTCCTCAATTGGGCTCCTTTTCTATCACGCACCTTTCATGCGCCCTTTGAAAGCGCACCTAAAAAATGGGAAGTGATGTCGGCCACTTCAAACAAATGTTGATTGACGATCAAAGGACTTGAGTAGGAGTCTCATGGGTAGCATTTTGTAAGTAGTGTCCGCCAAGAGCCGAAAACAATGTCCCTATCGAGACCACTCGCCAGAGACACCCAGCATACCAGTACTCATCCACAATACAACCCTACTAGATTCTACTGCATAGTTAGTATAACGGCAGCACGATCGATAGCGCGCCCTACGATCCCTGTAATTCAGTCCAGCGAACTAAATCAAGATTTTAAACCCACGTGTCCATATCGGGTAAAAAGTATGGCGGCTGAAGACGGTTAATCGATCGTAAGGTATAAGAATCATAGATTTGTCATCGTTCTCGCGTATGCAGCAATGTTTTGGCGTTGATGAGGGCATGGAAAAGTGGAAAAAGATAATGGATATTTTTTTGGTTTGCAAAGACCAAAATAACCTTTACAATCACAACAGATGTAACTTGGTGAGCCGATTGCATGAAATTAACGCAATATTGGGTCAATATAAAGTTTATCGCTATTAATGATATTCACCAACAACTACCTCATAAAGGATAAAAAGATAATACATAAACGTTTAAGGCTCTTTTCCGGCATTGCTTCACAATTAATTAATATATGCCATAACATCAACCTACTGATCACCAATCGCTGCTAAACGCGCGCAATGGTGGCAAACGAGTAGCTACAATTAGAGTTTGTAATTGGTACTCAAGAAAGATCGAAAGAGGTTCTGTTACGAAACCAACCTATATTAAATACAACTCTACTCTTGACTTCTCTTCAAACGCAAATGATTCTAAGGTAAGCCTTTCTCTTCACGTATTGTAACGGGGTGAGCCCGTTACATAAAAACTGGTACGAAAGTACAAGTTTTGAAAATTATCTATTTTGATAATAATTAATCAACGTCACTCGAGAAAAGCGATGCTGTCGGAATATTACCTCTAAGGGTAATATTCGTGGATGGGTCCACTTCTTGGTTGGAGTACCGTGTACGTCAACCAATTTGACCACTAAGCGCTGATGGACGCGCGCAATGGGTTGTGGACAGAAGGCTTACATAGGATACATTAATTTTATATAGTTCGATTAAGACGAAATATGATTTAGCAAGAAAATAACTATATTAAATAACAGTTCTACTTTTCTCTCAAGACAGAGCTTTTGGGTTCTGTATTTTCTTGGTCGCGCTTCCTCACGCCACGTGTACGTGACGTCGGGCGCACGCACCCTTGTATTATTATCAATACAAGGCCTTGCTCAGTTATCTGAGCAAGAGCGTGCCCCGTTACACCTGGTAGCACTTTGTAGTCCTTCCAACGACCACCCACCTAATACATCATGAACACGAGGGATGAGTAACAGAGATTTCCCGCCACACGTGAAGGCTTTGACCATTTGATTGACCTTGAATGGGCCGCGGTAGAGCGAATGAGCTCTACCGTGGGCGACATTGGCGTTACCGCTATGTTAAATCTCTTGACAGAGACCAACAACATGCCGCCATCGCCAGGTTCAATCAACGTGAACTTGGCGCCGAACGAGAGAAAGTAGCCTTGCTTCACCAGCAAGGCTCTAAACAGACCGAGCAATTGAGAGAACTCGGTGCTCAATAGACAGAGCTGTTGAGACAGCAGCAATTTAATCCTGCTGTGGGCGGGACGACGCACACGCGTCGCCCCGAAATCTTAAAGGTTGACATCTCTAAGTACAAAGGAGTTGAGGAAGACTCCCTGTTGTGACGGTTCGTCGAATTAGACAGAGACATAAGGACACGTCGCATCGACGATAAGCAAATGAAACTAACATTTGCTCAATCCCACTTGGCAGGACGTGCCAAAACTTGGGCCTTAGGGCTAAAAATGAGCGACCCATACGCTTTTGAGTCGCTCGAATCCTTCAAAGCCCGGCTCAAACGAACGTTTGAGCCGCCAAGGGCTGAGCTCAGGGCTCGATCAGAGCTCGATCAGAGCTCCTGTAACTCATACAAGGTAAGCGTGATGTGCACGCTTACGCCCAGCATATGCGACTCCTTGCGAGTAGTATAACTGCAAACCCGGTAAATGAACACACGTTGATTACTGTGTTCATGCAAGGGATCTCAGAGGGACCCGTCAGGACTCACTTGTTCCGCCTATAGTCGATTACTCTTGAAGATGCTATTGCAGCAGCGAAACATGAAGACTTTAGCATGAGACAGGCTCATGATAGCTCAAGCTCTTATCGTCCACCGAGACGACAAGAGACCGGAGGTCCAGAACCAATGGACCTCTGTTATGTTGAGAGCGAGAGACCTCGCTCTTCGAACAACAAGCGATTGTAGAAGTGCAATCGCTGCCATAAGTTGGGGCACTACGCTTACGAGTGTAGTGCTCCTCGCCCAGTACCTAGCAGTACTGAGCGAAATGGTCGTCCATTTACCAAAAGGGGCAATGGGTGTGGGTCCAGCGCTGTTGCGAAACCGCAACAGCGAACCGAACCATAAAAATGGCAGGGGTCAGTAATGGCGGAGCGCCCTAATGATCCAGCAATATCAAGAGAATTTGCAAATCTCTTGATAAAAGTTGCTCTAGATACACAGTTACTGTGTGTCTCTTCACCTGGTGATGAGATATCACTCATCACCTTAAACTTTAAAAGTGACAAAAAATATGTCATTTTGTGCTCTGGTTGACTGATAGGCGTCGAACAACTTTGTTCGTCTCCAGTCACTAGAGAAGCGTGGGCTCAAGTTCGTTGAGTGCCATATTCCCCTAACGAGGATGACGGTGCGCCTTAACACAGGCGCATCGATTATCATTGGTAAACGTGCTAAAGAGATCCACTACACGTTAGATGGCGAACAATACGATGGTGGCTTCATCGTACTGGATCTAATTGACAATTTTGATATCATCCTGGGATTACCTTGACTCAGAAGGTACAAGCCAATAGTGAGCTGGTAGCATCGATCCGTGAAGATGCCTGCCGTCTGTTCATCAGAGTGCCATCTGATGAAAGTCTCGGAGCATCCACAGGCGTGTGGATGTACTTCGAGTGAGTGCGATGGCCTCACTTGCGGTACGGTCGTTATCACGACTGCACAAGACCTCAGTTTAGCTGATCTCTACACTATCGAGAAAGATCCCGGCGGATGTACAGATGTACAGGCAGCGCCGAAGGTCCACCACTCGAATAAGCCGAGTGGACCGGGACATGGACGTATGCCTAGCGAGCAACGTCGTAGAAGTAAGAAACCTGTTGCCGCCAAAGGTCAACACGGTCATCCTAGGTCGACTGGACATCCGACCGTAGAGTACCGAGACCTGACTGTGGTTTCACAGCCACAGTCAGAAGACGTAGAGGGTATAAGTCTTCACGTGCTTGAGGAAGGACTTCCTCAAGAGGTAAATACTGGGGGATTAGGCCCTGAGTAACTTGTGGAAACAAGTTCCCAGGAAGAAACCGAGACGTTGAACGTCTTGTTCAATGACGGATAAAGCGTATGCGCTTATACGCTTGGTCTGATTGTGCCTTCGAAGTTAACTTCGGAGATAACTAAATTGCCAACGCTAGAGTCAAAACGGTTCTTGCGCGATCTGCGTAGTGGCAAAGTCAAGAAGATATGCATACTCGTCACAGAGGATGAGTATGTGGCCGATATTCGGTCGGCAACAGTATTTGCGTAGAACTAATGGGTTCTCAGCAGCTCATCTATGGACGAAAGTGTCCTCGATGAGAAGACTCGGATTGAGCGATACAATTTTTAATCGCGGATTTCGCTTCATGCAAATCCTTTGTATTAGGATTTGATCGAATTGTAGGATGTGTTTCCTGAATCCGTGCCATGCGAGTTGACTAAGGACAAAGGCAATCGACACGAGATCGAGCTTAGA